CAGCACATGCTGGAAGGGCTTTCTGGCCCTAGTTTATCACTGTTCCTTTGGTTTATTGCACACCCACAGACTGTGCTTTGATACCTTTCAAGGTTTTCTCTCTTTTCATGAGCCCTATCCCTAGTTGGTGGATTGCCCCACTATAAGTGGAGGAAACCAAGTTCCCAAGAGGCTGTGAATTTCCCATGGTCTATGCAAGTTGTTCTGAGGGACTGGGCTGAGTTCACTCACTACACGTCCCTGCCCCATGCCCAAGACACTCACTGTGCGAATTCACACTTGTTCCTTCCAAACAGCACGGGCCTTTTGGAGGCTGGGTATTGTCCTAGGCATTTCAGGGGTTACAAAGACAACTTGCTTGGGAACTGCCCTCTGGAATTTCAAATCTAGTTGCAGAAATGGGGGTACCCATTTGTCGCCAGTGACAGGAAACAGTGTGTTCTGAGACCTCCGAGGAGTAAAGGTATCTCAGGGGGATCCCTGAGGCCTCAAGTCCCTCAGAAAGCTTGGGTTGTATGTTGTGACATCAAGGCCCATGAAATCTCCTTCCTGCTGGTGGCCCAGGGCAGAGATGCCTGTATTCTGGCCTCCCCATTCCGAGTCTCTGTGGCTGTTGCAGGGTCTGTTGCATGACTCTCAGACACTGATGGTTACTGGCATGCTTGGCATTTGGAGCCAGTCGTGGTGTGCACACAGTAGGCTGTCCTGGCCATGCACCTTGCTCCCCTTCCCAGCAGGATTCACTGTGTGCCTCCTCTCCATGTTATTATAAAAACCACAATTACTTTTGCACCAGACTAATACTTTAAGTGAAACAGCGAGCCATCAGTCTCAGGCAGCCAGGATGTTCCTCAAGATCCCCAAAGAAAAGGCCTTCAAGACAGCAGCAACTCAATCAATTTGGCAAAGGAAGAGTATTTTTTCATTAAAAAAACAAGTAAGAGGCTGGGCACAGTGGCTCACGCCTGTAATCCCAACACTTTGGGAGGCCGAGGTGGGTGGATCATTTGAGATCAGGAGTTCAAGAGCAGCCTGGCCAATATGATGAAACCCCACCTCTACTAAAAATACAAAAATTAGCCTTACATAGCCTTTCAGAAACAAAAACTGCACTCACGGCTGCTATTACATGTTTTTCAATTCATCTGACATTTTGTGTGTGTGTGCATTCTGACATCTTTGAAGTTGCTTTTTTCTTTGCTATAAAGACACAGTTTTCATCTACTCTTGGCTTTCTAGCAACCTCTTACTCCGTGTTCAAGAACCAGTGGCCACTCACTAAATAGGGTTCAGACAAGCTATTGAAAAGTCACCTTGACAAGGGTGAGGGTTCACAACTGACTAAATCATTTTCTTAATAGATTGTGATTTGGGATCTCTAGCCATGAATAGTATACAGGGTTTGTGGGAGCAGTTGTCCTACCAAAGGCAGAAAAAGCGATTCGTCCACGTTTATGGCCTTGACCTTCTTATGAGAGCCAACTTTTTTGTTCATATCAGACACTCTTGTCCATCTGCTCACTCTTGTACCCCCAAAGCCCAGAAAAGTGCCTAGTGCAGAGCATGTACTCAATAAGTATCTGATGCTGAATTTATTCATCACATATTTATGGAGTATCAGAGGAGGAAGTTGGTGGGCATATACCACTGAGTAAGGCCTGGTTTTTACACTGGAAGAGTGCTCTCCAGGGAGGAACAGAGGATGCAAACACACAGTAACCACCCATGTGAATCGTGCCATAAGGAGGCACCTGGGAAGTGCAGCAGGGCACTGGGGAGGGTGGGACAGAGGAGGTGAGACAAGAGGCACTGTGAAGGCGATGGAGTGGAGCGTTCCAGGCAGAGGACATGGCCTGTATATAGACATGGAGGTGTGAAAGAACCTGATACAGTTCATTCAGCGCTGCCGGAAAACAGCATGTATGTCCAGAGGACATAGATGGGACTAGGCAGACTAAGAGAAGTTGGGTCCATACACATGAGAAATGGGGCTATGTCTTGAGCTGGATGGGTTTATTGGCTGTGTGTGTATTGTTAAGGACTATTCCAGCCCGGTCAACAGTAGCAACTCAGGGGACAGTGGGGTTCCACCTGGGAAGAAGACAAGTTAGTGAATCTGTGTGATCCAGGAGGAAGATGGAAAAACCTCCAGGAAAGAAAAGCCAGTGGGCAGGTCCGAGAGATTTGAGAGGGGAAGAGTATATGCTGTGACTGGCCCGAGCCTAACAAAGGGATACCATTGCTCCACACGGACCTGTTTCCTCCTCAGTCCTGCCATCTCACTTCTTTTTGACGTGACTCTTCCAGAAGTCCATATGGCTGGAGTGGAAGTTCATAGCATGGTGAGACCTGTGCTCATCATTACAGTAGAGAAAACAAGGCTTTATTTCAGGTATCAGGCAAACAGACAACCCAGTCAGTGTGCTGAAAATAATATGCTTGAATTAGGTAGCATATTCAGCAATTAAATAGAAGTTCATGTCTACATCTGCTGACTGTCTGTAGCACCCCTGATAACTTACGGAAGTTCAAAGAATGATTATGAGGGATATTCCCTGGGTACTTTAAGTCCTTTGTGTATATGCCTTGTCTATCTCTTTGTCTCATTGTGTGTTCCTTGCTGACCCCTCTTTGCACTTTATTTTTAATTTCCACGAAGGCAGAAAGAGGCAGGTGTCTGATGGTGCAGAGCACCCGAGAAGAGAGCCTTGTGCTCTGGTGAGCTTATTAGGCGCTTTCCAGTGATGTGATTACTAACTTGAAAAAGACGTTAAGCATCTTCATCAAACAATGTGTGCCTTTGTATGGCCAGTAGTTTTTTCATTTTTACTGGGACAGCTGTTCTCTCAAAAACGGTTCTATGATAAATAACTTACAATCACTGACAGGCTTTCTTTACCCTTACACTGTCTCTGGGATGAGCTTTACTGACTGCCAGGGTGTGTATCATCAAGCAGGTGAACCTCGTTTTTTTACACAGTTGTGTGTTTCTTACTATAGGAAAGCAATATTTTGAAAATAAAACACCATTCTAAATGTGCTAGATGATTTTCCGAAGTAAAGGGTACTTTAAGTGCAAAAAAAAAAAAAAAAATCACTTTGGTATGTCTTGTTTTAGGCATAATGGGTGCATGAGCGTTTTGCATTTTTTATTCTAAATAATACGTATTAATCACAAGAATGGAAACCCGACCATGAGTTGAATTTGTATTAGTGCCCTTTTCGTTCCTCTCTGCACCCTGCAGATTGAGGCTCTTAGACACCAGGTTCACCAAAGTGCCCTAGTAAGGCAGCTGTTCTCAAAGAGGTGCAGGCACCCTTGAGGGTCCAGATCTGTGAGGTCAAAAACATTTTCGTAAAAATATCAAGATGGTATACTGTCATTCCTTTATGAGTATATAGTACAGTGGAGTTTTCTAGAGGCTACACGATCTATCACAAGCATTTGAATCCAGAAGCAAATGTGAAAATCCAGCTGTCTTCCATTACACTAGACCTTAAAGAGCTTTTGGAAAATGTAAAACTATGCTTTCCTTCTCAAAAACTTCTGTTTTGGAAAATACAGTCATTTCATTAAAATGTTATTTATATTATGTAATGGGTTTGTTATTGCTATTTTTAAATGAATTAATGAATAAATACTTTAAAATTTCTCATTATTTCTAATATGATAAATATTGCTTAATATAACCCATATAAATAACAGTTCTTGGGGTTCTCAGTAATTTTTAAGAGTGAGAGAGTTCCTGAAACCAAAATGTTAGTGAGCCACTGCTGGAAAGTATAGTGCAATAAAACTCTCCCAGCTTCTTAATGAAATTGGGAAGCTTTCTAACAAAGAGTAAAAGGATGAATAAAGTTCCCTAATCATGTAGCTTAGGCCCATTTCTACTTTTATTTGTGGATGTGCAGGAGAAAGATGAAAAACAACTTTGAAACCACAGTCTTACGAAAAACATAACTTAAAGGCCCTCAACTTTGCCGGAGGAGAGCCAACCATGATCGCAAGCCTTTTCCTTATGGGGACACCCAAGCACACTTTGTTTTCCTCTCCCTGCTGGCTCTTGCCAGTTTGTGCTATGAATGGTGGGTTTGTGAGACCGCACAGCTCATCCTTCATCTCTTCATGCAGCCAATGAGTATGTTTCCTGAGCACCTTTATGGAGCCCGGGCTGATAGAAATTCAGACCCAGTCCCTGCCTTGAGGAAGCCAAAAGGCTTGTACAAGGAAACAGCAAATACAGAAGCATTAAGTGAATAGAGTCATTACTGATTTTGGAAAGTGATGCAAAGGAAATGAACAGGGTGATACGACACAGTACTTTGGAAGCTCCCAAAGTAAGTTCATGTAAGATACCTGGCAAAGGCTTTTCTAAGGAGTCTTCATTTGAGCAGAGCTAAGGGTAAGGGGTTGTTAGGAAGGAGAAGGGGAAGAGCAGTTCTAGCAGAGGGACCTGCAGAGGCCCCATGGAGGGACATGGCTTGCTGGCAGTGTGATGAGCACCAGAGTGGCTGAATGATGATGGGTATGGAGACACTGATGGACAAAGACCAGATTTTACAGAGCATTGTAGGTGCTGGTAAGGAATTTGGGTTTCAATCGAAGAGGATGGGAAGTGATCTGAGGGCCTTTCAGCAAACAGTGGAGTCATCCTTTTTCTGTTTTGTGAAGACCAACCGGGTGACTGTGTAGGGAATGAACTGGGGGAGGGAGGTAACTGGTAGGTAGGCAGGAGAAGAGGCAGAGAGCACCCAGGAGGCTCTAGACATCATCAGGTGACAACCCATGGTGTGCAAGGGTGACAGGCAGAAGTGGACAGGTTTGAGATCTAACTGATGGAGTCTGGTCTGTTCTACCCCATATAGATCTCAAACCTGTCCACTTCTGGGGTAGGGATGAGACAAGGAGAGTAAAGAAGCATGACCTCTGTTTTTTATTACAGCTACTTTTCTTTTCTGAAATCATTGCAACAAAACTCTGCAAGGTAGTTAGCATCACACCTATTATTTAGCGATTAGGAGACCAAAGTGCCAATAACTTGCCCATGGGTCAATAGGGCCCTGCACAGCATCAAAGCAAGTCGGCAGTTACTGCAGCTGCCCCGCTCCATCTGTGGCTTCCTTTTCCTGGTGGTGTGCTCCAGCTTTCTGCCCCAGTCCAAATGGTGACAGCAGGTGAGGGCCTGGAAGGAAGGTTCCTCCCCCTCCAGTACGTCAGGTCTGTTAGCTGGTGTAAGCCAAGTCACTGTCTTGTCTTCTGTGTCTGAAAAATGGGTCCAGAGGCATCTGCTGGCCACCAGCCCAAGCAGGATTTTATTGGGACTGGTTTATTCATGTCTCAGGTGTGTCTCGGCTCACTGAGAAAGGGAGCATTATTCTTCGGGCCCCATGACACGTCTCAGTAGGGGACGTGGGAGTCCTCCTCGGAGACAGTTAAACCTTTGTAAAATGAAACCTTTGTGAAATGGTGAAGGCTTTGGAAGCAATTGTAAGAATTTTAAACATCGACCATTTTTGTCGAGAAAAAGGTACCTGTGCATTTCGTTCAGGCAATGGGACAATCATTTACTTAAAAACAAAGTTTTTAGAAAAGCTGTGAGGCTTACTCAGTGGGACAGAGGCTGCAGGGGGAGGAGAGAAGCAGGAAAGCAAGAACCAAAATTCTTAAATGTTGTCTGTTCTTACCTCCCAGGTATAATCTGGCAGCTCTCTGCTTTCTTGACACAATGCAGGGCACAGCTTCAGAGGTCTAGGCAGGTACAGAATGTCAGATACAGATACGTAGTAACCAGTGACAATCAGCCCAGCCATATCATCTCTGAAATATCTGCAGCATCTGTATAGCTGAGGGGATGGCATGAAGCTGACTGCTTCTCTTCCTCCCAGTCAGCTGGGCAGCCCTTCAACAAATAACTTCCTGCTTTTGGAATTGAAAATGCATTTGGGGAATGATTATCTGCTTTCTCACCTGTAGGGCGCCTCTCTCCTTATAACCCCTGGCTACTTTGCATACTCATGGATATATCCTGCAATTTAAATTTTTATATTTTATTCATATGTGGAGTATTTTTCCTGCAACTTTGTAGAGCCCTAAATATTATATGAACATCATTCAAAACATGTCCTTTCCATAAAGTCCGTTTATATGCCATCATTATCTGCAGCATTAAATACATTTTATATCATCAGAAATTTTATGATATATTTAAAAATGAATTTCTACTTAGCTGTAACACATTAGGGATTATCCTGAGAGACCTTGCTAAAAATGCAGTCATGTTTATTTGTAACTGCCAGAAAATAGCTTGCAAAATTGTTACTGTCTTTTATTATTCCCTACCACTGGAGCACTTGCTTGTTAATTAGAGAAATTTCAACTGTCATAGTTGGCAATTATAGCTTCTGTATCATTGTCTGTTATGAATAGTCAATGAGAGCTGATTAATATGCATGAGCAGCAGTATATATAGCGTGTGCATTGGACCACAATCCAGCTGCCAGAGTCACTCAGAGGAGGGAGTGGTGTGCGTGTATGTCTGTTTGTATGTGTGTGTGTGTGCACGCGCGTGCATGCATGCATGCCGCGAGGGGAGGAAGGGAAGCGGGGAAGAGGGAAGAGAGTTGTTTTCTAGCCTCTGAGAGCAGTGCCAATGTGAAGCGTTGCAGTCGCCTGACTCACCTGAGGCTTTCCAAGGATACCTTCAATGCCTGCACTGTAAGGGAGCTGCTTTTCCCGGGTACTGGTGAGGACGGAAGCCTTCCTTTGACGTTTTTCTAAACATGGGATGCAGTTTGTGCAGTCTGCAGAAGCAAGAGGAGCAGTACAAATTACTCTATGAAGTTTGTCAGGTAATGCCCTGCATTTTATTCCGTAGAAGTGCACAGGCACCCACCTGGCCAAGTGTAACTTCTAGGAAAGGTACTGGGGATTGTTGTGTGTGGTTTTGTGCATATTTTGTGTTCTGAAAGAGGCAGCCTTTCTGACTTTTCTGTATATTTCCTCTTAAGTCTGTTACAAAATTTTCCATCCAGTGGCACTTCGGTGCCTGCATTTGAAAATATAAATAGATGTTGATGGTCATAAAATGTGTTTCAAGCAGTCTCGCCACAAGACTTCTTCACAACTGACCTCTCTCCAGAGTGTCAAACTCGAAGGGTCAAAGAGTGGTCATGCACCCTTTGAACAAGTTGGAGAAGACGTGGATGATGATTAATGCTTCCAAGGTTTTGTCTGTGTTTACAAATAGTTATAAGGCGCTCTTTTCAGTACAGCTCAAGCCCTCTGCTGACTTGGTTCTTTTAGCAATTCTTGTAGTGGGACGTAAGATTCAAATTGGTACTTCTCGCTTGCCATTTCTGTCTCTCTCTCTCTTTGAAATTTTTAAGAACTTCAAAAGCAAGTGACTCAATCTTGGGTGCTGTCATTCACATCAGGTGACTTGCATCTTATAAGTCATTGTGAGCAACATGAAATTTTGGTTGAGGTGAGATGGGATATTTATGATACAACCCAGATAATTTACCTTACATCTTTGTCAAATGTTTTATTTTTAAATATTCAAGTTCTGTTCTAAACTAGGTGGTTTCAATACCGCTGTTGGTAACCTACCTTGGCAGATAAGGATTTTCTCCTAAAATCATTCTTCAAATTTGTCTTAAGTAATAAGAAAAAAAAAATCATAATCCAGCTAAGGTTTTCTTTTTAGATAAGCACTTTAGAAGAAGGTTGTTATAGCAAGTGAGAAACAAAGGGTGTGTGTTTCTTGATTTATAACAATCAATGGCATATTAATGTTTTTTAAAGAGCCAGACTTTTAAAAAAAGAATTTGGTTTTCCATCAGTTTAGTGTCATTTTTTGCTTAAGCCACCAGGGGGTGCTATGCTTAAAGAGACGCCGTGAGAGCAGTGAAAAGTGGGTCGGCTGTCTCTCTGGACAAAACCTAAAGATAAAATGACCCTGGGTGAACAAAAAGTGTCTGTTTGTCTGTCTGCCTTCCCCACTGACACACAGAGAGAGTGGAAACAAACCTTTTGAAGTTTGGTACTCTATGTAGGCAAAGGGTACATATCTTACAAAAAAATAAGCATCTTAATAAGTCTTGGGAATAAATACATTTCACATTCAGGACTTTACTGGACTCGTGTCTTTTCCAAAGCAATTGAGAGACGTGTTGTTGGAGATCTTGCGCAAAAGTGCTGTCGCCACTAGCAATCTGGCCACCATCCCTTGTGTGATCATGTGGTGAGTTGCAATCCTTAGTTTGCCAAGTTATCCCATTCAGTGAGCTGGGGAGCTCTCAGTGAGTCCAGCATGCAGACATGAACCAAGTGGAATAGCAGACACCATCATTTGGGCAAGGTGGTTGTATTACAGACTTTTGCCACGATATTTGAAATAGCTCAACATAGTAAGTCAAAGGTAGTTTTTAAAACTTGCATTTTAAAATGTTTTGTTTTTTACCGTCAGTGCACAGAAAATATCATTCAGCAGTCATGGTTGTGGATGTATTAATTACACTGGCCCCCCACAAAAAGTAATTCTACCACATCTCTGGCAAATAAGTAAACTTGTCTTTTATTCTTCTGTATTATTTGTGCTCAATCCCCCTAGTCACCCCACCCCCATCCCACCCACACACATACATACAACTGCCCCCAAAAGAGGGAGCCTGGATTCTGTTGTTTGTTTTTAACTAGGTGAATTTATGTGGAAATATTTCTGGCTAAAGCATTGCGCAGTAAATTGCTGATAAATGACTTCCATCTGGAATATACTTTGTCAGCAATTTAGGAAGCCATGCAGATTTATTTTCAAGAAATTCAAACTACTTTTCAGACCCATTACCCTTGTGCCAACTAAGTAAAATCCCCCTTTCTCCTATTCTTTGGGAGTTCTGAACCGTAGCATAAAGGAATTCACAAAACACTTGCAGGAATTAATAATTGCATTCTCGCTCTTATTATGCAAAGCCTTATTAGAGCAGAGAAATTAAGGTTTCCATAAATTACAGTTCCAGAAGGTCCGGTGTGTCTGGCTTCAGTAAGCCCTCGTAACAGCAGCACAAAGAGGATCAAATATTCCAGGGCTCAGACTTTATCCTTTCCTCATCCAGAGATAATTCAAAGAGATGCTCTTCATTAGGGCCGTTGGCAAGCTGCCTACAGTTTCTTTTGGGGGGCTGACGTGAGCTTAATGATGCAGAACAATGGCTTTGCCTCTTGTTGCACACATACCTCATTGTACCTTTAATCACATTGGAAAAACAACAACACATAAAGTTGCCTGGTCATTAAAGGGCATTACAAAGAGTGCAGACACATCAGTGATTGGGGCCATGCATTAGAAGATGCACCAAGACACTTAGGGACACTCAAACACTTCTCTGGGGAGGAAGCCTCCTGCCTACCTGGGGTTGGTAAGGTCAGGTTCAGTCAGGTGCAGTGATTCTTTGTGCTTTTAAGGTAACTGTGGTGTCCAGGTGGTGGGGGTTGCAGGGCATTGTGGAACATCAAGACAGGGTCTCCGCCTACCAGAAATTTGAAATCTAACAGTTGCTTCATGATTTGGAAAACTTTAGCCTGTCTTGAGTAAGTTTGAGTACTCAGAAGCACTATTAAGGTGAAAGGACAGGGAGGGCTATCAAGGAGTACAGTCTCCTACTTGGATAAATTCATTGGCACAGGAAATCTCATGTTCTGGGAGTAAGGGGATAGGGAGCCACACAGCTCTTGGGCTATGGCTGGAATCCAGCTAAGGGTGATTACCAGGTTTTGAGGCCAGGGCGTGGGGGTTGGCAATGTCAGGATGGGAATGTCGATAGCTCTGTGGCTTTGATGCCAGTGACTCCAGCACAGGCTAAGCACCAGCCTTGTATGCAGCTGTATACTGTCAGGTTAAGGGGACAGCCAGTCTATGGATGCTTTGAGGAAGGTCTTCCAATGGAGGCCAGAAAGAGGGAAACAGAGTGGCAACCCAGCCAGTATGTTTTATTCTTTCCACCTCTTCTAACATCGACCAGAGACTCTTTGTAAAGTGATGACATTTACTAATTTGTTGAGGCAACAAGAAAATAATGCTAGTTGAGAGTTAAGCTTCAAACTAGAAATTATGGCTAGCACATTGTCCTAAAGTCCACATGCACATGTTCAAGATAATAAGGAAAACTTATCTATAAAGTTACAGAACCCTTCATTGCCAATAGCCACAGCATAATTAATTGTGCACTTACTGGGTGTCAACACAACGCTGAGTGTCAGCTGTGCATTTTCCAATGAGACCTGCACACAAGCATGAAGAGATAGGTGATGCTGTCTTCCCATTTCAAAAAGAAGAAACTGACGTACCAAGGAATTATAGTGGGACTGGGAGTCAGATCTGCGCTGTAATTCCCAAGTCTGTGGATTCTTTCCTTGTGTACATCATTTTCCAGCAGTGTCAATGAATGAATGATGACTGACTTTATAGGGAAACTGTGGGCCCCTTTTTAAAAATCACGCTTGCCTTTGCAGGGCTAACATAAAGTCTCAGACAGGCCCATGTGTTACGTGGTACCTCCTGAGAAGGGTTCCCATACTGATCCTTCGCATCAGGGGAGGGTGGCGTGCAGAGAAAATAAGCTCCCGAGTAGCACACAGTTCCCATTGGCTTCTCAGGCAGCCTGAAGAATAGATGATCGGAGAACACTTGTGTCTTTTTGCCTCTCAGTAATAACAGGAAATATCACATAAGATTAATTTGTGCCTCTTGTGCCACTTGAAGTTGTTGGCTTTGAGAAGCAAAAACTACCAGTAACTGTGACTTGCCAGAAAACTATAGATGTGATACAGATTTGTGACTCTTTATACATCAACCTAGCAGCCAGTTGGCTAGAAAAACACAGATTTCTACAGTAAATACTAATCAGAATCAAGTTAATGGAAAAGTCTGGAAATTTGACTTTGCACAATCCTGCTTGCATATTTAATTAGCTATATGCAGTACTCAGATGAGTTTACTGCTGTAGAGCAAAGCGACTCTGCATCAGCTGAGTCAGATGGGTCACGGTTCGATTAAGTATGGACCCAGTTAATGACGGTTAATTGGATGAACATAAACTTGACCTCCACCTAGCAGTTTTGAACCTGGCAAAATTTTCCTGCAAGTAGGAGTGTGTTTGCTTAAACAGCCTATTAATTCTAAAAGCTTTGTTTTAGACGCAGCTTTGTGAATTCATTTAGGCGAAGTAGATATGGAAAAAGAAAGCTCATCTTGGCCGGGTATGGAGGCTCACACCCTATAATCCCAGCACTTTGGGAGGCTCAGGTGGGAGGATTGCTTGAGACTGGGAACTCAGAAACAGCCTGGGCAACTTGATGAGACCCCAATCTCTATACACACACACATACACACTGTCTCTCTCTCTCCCTCTCTCTCACACACACACACACACACACACACACAGAGAGAGAGAGAGAGAAATTTAATTTAGCCAGACATGATGGTGCATGCCTGTAGTCCCAGCTTCTTAGGAGGCTGCGGTGAGTGTTGGAGGCTGTAGTGAACTATGATGGTGCCACTGTATTCCATCCTGGGGGAGAGTGACAGAGCAAGACCCCTTCTCTGGGGTGGTAGAGGGGAGGGAAGTCCATCTTCTCCTCCTCCTACCTTGACAAACCAGGGCACTTTATTGACTGTGGGGCCAGTGTATGGCTAAGAAAGTCACTTTTTAATACATGGGCATTATTTGTCACTAACTTTTTTTTTCTTGTCAATTAACAATGGATTATAAGCCACTTTTGTGTTGATTCTGAAAAGGATCTA